GGAAAGTCTCTACGGAATCACAAATATTATAGTGTAGGATTGTTTGTTTACTTGGGATCTAGAGAAGAGTGTTTTCATGGCGAATCACTTAGGTTAGAGAAGAAGAGTGTTTCCTGTGAGATTTAAGCTCTAATTGTAGAGTTCTGTTCCAGTGTGAGAGTTGAAGAGCTTGATTTAAGCTATTTATTGTGGAGTTAAACCTCCATGGCAGACTATTAGAACATTACCAATCACAAAATTATCGCATAGCTGAAATCTCCATTGCCAAAGAGTTAACTACTTTGCTTACGGAATGCTATTTGATTAATCTTGACTCAGGCTATCATTGCCCTAAAGAAGGGAGCTTACTTGCTAAAATATGGAAGAAGAGGGAAGCCTAAGTTCTGTCCATTTCGCCTTTCTAATGTAAGTCATTTTTTGTTTCATTTCCTTAAATTTGTATGCTAGCGGTGCTCGACGGTAATAGTCTCTAGCAACTACCTTAGTGTTGTTATTTTTCTTAATCTTCGGTTTCTCTGTGAATGAGGTAGTGACGTTAGAAAATGTTGCCTGGAACTTTCAGGACGAAACTGTTTTGATATGGTTCTCCGGAAAGGAGGAGAAACATCTGAAACTGAGCCATGTCTCTAGGATCATATCTGGACAACGCACTGTAAGTTCCTGTGTGGAAGATGTGATTTTAATTCTCCCTTGAGGTTGCAGTGAAATATGAGGACTGTAATATGCATTTGCTATGGGATATCTTTATTGGGTTGGATCTCTGTTCCTCCCAAGAAGGTGTACTTCTTAGGGTTGTTTAGGTTCTATTGCCAAAGTTGTTGCTGGTTCTCCTTAGTATTTGGTTAAGTGTTGTTTATGGTTGTACCAATACTTATTTACCAGACTTAGTTGTGTGGCAGTCATACATTATTTTCTTAGTGTTGTCTTCCAAAGATTCAAATCCTTGATCCTCGTTTTCATGCTGTCTTTGATTTTATTCTTCAGTTTTTTATCTCAATTTCATAAGGAATTTCGTTCTTGCCTTCTTTATGATCTTACATGGAACTTTTCATGTGTCGATTTACTTAGTTCCAGGGTGTGCATATTTGCGCACCTATATAATGTGATATTCTGAACATTCGAGCTATGGTGGTTCTTTTGTAGCCTATTTTTCAGAGGTACCCTCGTCCCGAGAAGGAATATCAGTCGTTCTCACTAATATATAGCGAGAGGTCTTTGGATGTGGTGAGATTTTCTTATACTTTTTAATTTTATGCTTCCGCTATAAAATAATCACCCTGTCATTCGAATTGTCGCTGTGGTTATTTGAAGTTAATTAATCTGGTGGTAGGATTTTATTTGGTAGATATGCAAGGATAAAGATGAGGCTGAGGTGTGGTTTAGTGGTCTTAAAGCCTTAATTTCACATTGCCATCAAAGAAGCAGGAGGACTGAATCAAGAAGTGATGGGACGCCATCTGAAGCTAATAGCCCAAGAACATATACCCGGAGAAGCTCTCCTTTACATTCTCCATTTAGTAGCAACGACAGCTTTCAGAAGGTACTAAAAAAGGTTTTCTGCGTACACTTTTGTGCATGTTAACGCTAAGGAAATTTTCATTTCACTTTCAGGATGGTTCTAATCACCATCGCATTCACAGTCCATTTGAGAGCCCGCCTAAGAATGGCCTTGACAAGGCATTTTCGGACATGACATTATATGCAGTTCCGCCGAAAGGATTTTATCCCTCAGATTCTGCAACTATGTCTGTTCATTCTGGAGGCTCGGATAGCATGCATGGACATATGAGGGGTATGGGCATGGATGCTTTTAGAGTTAGTATGTCAAGTGCTGTTAGCTCCTCGAGCCACGGTTCTGGTCATGATGATGGAGATGCATTAGGGGATGTTTTCATCTGGGGAGAAGGCATAGGAGAAGGTGTTTTGGGTGGTGGAAACCGTTCAATTGGAAATTCGTTTGACATAAAAATGGATTCCTTATTGCCTAAAGCTTTAGAATCTACAATAGTACTTGACGTCCAAAATATTGCTTGTGGTGGACAGCATGCTGTCCTTGTGACAAAGCAAGGAGAAAGTTTTTCTTGGGGAGAGGAATCTGAAGGCAGGCTTGGCCACGGTGTTGATTCCAATATTCAACATCCAAAGCTCATCGATGCACTTAACACTACAAATATTGAGCTTGTTGCATGTGGTGAATTTCATAGTTGTGCAGTTACTCTATCAGGGGATTTGTATACATGGGGTAAAGGAGATTTTGGTGTTCTTGGACATGGAAATGAAGTCAGCCACTGGGTCCCTAAAAGGGTTAATTTTCTGTTGGAAGGGATACATGTATCATACATTGCTTGTGGACCTTACCACACAGCAGTTGTGACCTCTGCTGGGCAGTTGTTTACTTTTGGTGATGGGACCTTTGGTGTCTTGGGCCATGGAGACAGGAAAAGTGTTTTTGTACCTCGAGAGGTGGACTCCTTGAAAGGTCTTCGCACTGTGCGGGCAGCCTGTGGTGTATGGCACACAGCAGCTGTTGTAGAAGTCATGGTTGGGAGCTCGAGCTCTAGTAATTGCTCTTCTGGAAAGCTCTTTACATGGGGTGATGGTGATAAGGGTCGTCTTGGTCATGGTAATAAAGAACCAAAACTTGTACCCACCTGTGTTGCTGCTCTTGTAGAACCCAATTTTTGTCAAGTTGCATGTGGACACAGTCTAACAGTCGCACTCACAACATCAGGCCATGTCTATACTATGGGCAGTCCTGTCTATGGTCAGCTTGGAAACTCACATGCGGATGGAAAAGTGCCTAACCGTGTCGAAGGTAAACTTCAAAAGAGTTTTGTCGAAGAGATTGCCTGCGGTGCTTATCATGTTGCAGTTTTAACTTCGAGGACAGAGGTTTACACTTGGGGAAAGGGATCAAATGGTAGACTTGGTCATGGAGATGTAGATGATAGAAATTCCCCGACATTGGTAGAGTCACTTAAGGATAAACAGGTAAAAAGTATTGCCTGTGGCACTAACTTTACAGCAGCTGTCTGCATTCATAGGTGGGCATCAGGGATGGACCAGTCCATGTGTTCAGGTTGCCGTCAGCCATTCAATTTTAAGAGAAAGAGGCACAATTGCTATAATTGCGGACTCGTGTTTTGCCACTCCTGCAGTAATAAAAAGTCGCTGAAGGCTTGTATGGCACCAAACCCGAACAAACCATATCGCGTGTGTGATAAGTGTTTTAACAAATTGAAAAAGACCATGGAAACTGATCCATCGTCTCATTCTTCGCTGAGAAGAAGAGGAAGCATTAACCAGGGATCAGATCCCATCGACAAAGATGACAAGTTGGATTCTAGATCCGATGGACAGTTAGCTGGATTTTCTTTGATGGATTCCATGAGACAAGTGGACAGTCGAAATAAGAAGAACAAGAAATACGAATTCAATAGTAGCCGTGTCTCGCCTATACCAAGTGGAGGCTCTCAACGGGGTGCGCTTAACATAGCTAAGTCTTTCAATCCAGTATTTGGAGCATCAAAGAAGTTCTTCTCAGCTTCTGTTCCTGGTTCTCGAATTGTTTCTCGGGCAACTTCCCCAATATCGAGACGTCCTAGTCCACCTCGCTCAACTACACCAACTCCCACTCTTTCGGGACTAGTCACACCCAAAATTGTTGTGGATGATACTAAGAGAACCAACGATAACCTAAGCCAAGAGGTCGTTAAGCTAAGATCTCAGGTAAGTCTCCTCTTCACCATCCAATCGTCTCTCCTTTTTTTTCCCCATAATCATTCACACGTTTCTATGTTACAAAAAAGGGGAAGGTAAACGTAGTTGGTGAGATTATGCCATTAGTTTCCGTTGTCAATAATTGTGTTACCGATGGTCAATTATGTTCTGGATTTTACTATTGTTGGTGAGATCATGCTTTGAAATGTTTGAGCAGCCTTGGCCGCCAATTGACTAGTTTGTGAATAAACATTTTCATTTTAAAACTTTAACTAGTGCCTCAGTTTCTCTTTATGATTGCTTCTTTGCTAACTAGTAAATGACATCTCAGGTTGAAAGTCTTACAAGGAAGGCCCAGCTTCAAGAAGTTGAGCTGGAAAGAACAACCAAGCAGCTCAAAGAAGCATTGGCAATCGCTAGCGAAGAAACGACAAGATGCAAGGCAGCAAAAGAAGTGATCAAATCACTTACCGCTCAAGTAAGTTCACAATTGAATATAGATATGGTTTATGCAATTACTGATGATTTATTTATGCTGATTATAAGCATCAACATACGTAATATGCAGTTAAAAGATATGGCTGAAAGATTACCCGTTGGATCAGCTCGGACTGTGAAATCTCCTCCGTCTCTTAATTCATTTGGTTCCAGCCCTGGTCACACTGACCCTTTTAGTATCTTAAACCGGCCAAATAGCCAAGAACCCGAGCCAAATGGTATAAACACCCCAATGTTTTCTAATGGGACCATTACACCTGTATTTGGAAATGGTGAAGCAACAAATGAAGCACAGAACGAGAAGGAATGGGTTGAACAAGATGAACCTGGTGTCTATATTACTCTTACAGCCTTAGCCGGAGGTGCCAGAGATCTCAAACGCGTCCGTTTCAGGTACAATAGTTTCTTATTTCCCTAAGAAGAAACAATCATGATTTTCTTTGCCCAGAGACTGGACTCTAATTTTGCTTGACCGTTATGTTTTGTGACAGCCGAAAAAGGTTTAGTGAGAAACAAGCGGAACAGTGGTGGGCGGATAACAGAGGAAGAGTCTACGAACAATACAATGTACGAATGGTTGACAAATCCAGCGAGGACATGCCCCATTGAAACTCTTTTAACACCAATCACTTCTCTATTATTTTCAACGCCCGAGTCAGGTGAGTGCAGAATCTCGTGCTATAACAACAGATACATATAGAGAGAAATTAGATGAATTTTTAAGTGCTTACATGCTTCTTTCACTGTGTAGTTGTTTGGGGTTTGTGTGGTGTTTGGTTGTGAGAAAAGTTGTAAATTCTTTGTGGTGTCCCACTGTAAATTCTATAAGCAAACATTGTTTTTACTCTTTAGGAACAATTCTAAGAAATGGGTTTCGAGCAGATCTGTAGATACATCATAACATCGGAAACTACAAAAGTTAGTGATATTGTTCCCACAAAAATCAAAACCAAGTAAAACTGGAACTCAGGTGGTGTCTTCATCTTCCTTGAGCTTGAATTCTACGGTTTCAAATCGCAATGGCAAAGGCGATGAAGGTAAAGAAGAATGGTAATGGATGGGCGAATCTGGCGGTGAGAGCCGTTGAGTTGAGCATTTTAGCAAATCGGAAAACTCCTCCGTTGGTAGCTCTTTGAGTACATCCCAACTGTTGCTGCTTTTTACATCCATCTTAGGTGCAAAAACAAGTGAAAGAGTTATAAAATTTGCTCAAAATCAGGGTAAAAGGAGACAGAATTGATGCATATTGTTTAAATGGTAATGCTGTGTTCCGGATTTAGAACGACTCTCTTGTAATTTGACACAATCTAACCGTACCTCTTTCATATTGTACTCAGGAATCTCTTCCTTGATGTTGGTATCTGAAAAGCAAAATCATAAAGAGGATTCAGAGAATAGCAATTGAAACATTAATGAAGTAGCATAGAGAAAAGGGTTTCATTATTACCATGTCCATGGAGGATGATTTGTTCAGAGAAGTAACAGTCCCACTGGCTTTGTTGTTGTTGTTCAATGCATTTGCAGTGATCATGCAAGAAACCTTCCTTTGCTATGTCAAAATCCACTCCCTCGACATTCTTCTTTTCCTTGGAAGAAACTTGAGGTTGCAACTTTGACTTGTTTGTAATATCATGCAGAGCTTTGCGGCTTCCAAAACCCGCCCCATTTTTCTTTGGAGCTGCAAGCAAACTCTTACCTTTTCCCGCTGCAACCGTCTCTACAAAAAAATGTTAAACAAGCTCAACAGTAAGCAAAAAACAATTAATCTTCCATGATTCAACAGACATTATCATGCTTATGCAATAACATTTTACACTGTTGAAAACGTATACAAGATGGACACAAAACTCAAATTTAGCGCATCTG